TGCCAAAGGGTATACCACCTACAACCTACAACCCTACTAATTTCATAGAGCGCACGATTTTCATGTCCCTAGCCACGTGTACGCCGCGCATACACGACAAGAGCTTACACCCTGAATTTCAAATTGCCTTATAAAATTATTCTTTGTTTTCACCCTTTCCAATCAAATAACACGCACGCTCTTTTAACACGTGCCGAGAACCGTGTGTGAATTTAAATCGATTTTTAAAAATGTTACCGATTAAATACAAAGGGATGGTAACGGTACGATTGTATCGATGTTCCTTTCGGACCGTTAGATGTCGATACTAACGGATTTCGGCGTTCTGTTTCTGATCTCATTTCGTTGGAAATAGGTGATGTAAGGAATAATAAGACGGCTTTGATAACAGGTGTCGGCTCTATGAAGAAGCACGAAAATGTTCGTAGTGGTCCTAGAATTTAATTCCAAATTTATACCAAATTTGTAATTATATTCTATTAAAACTAGCAACTCGTCTCGGTTTCAACGTGTTTTTGTTTATTTATTTTTTTATATAATTATTATATTTTTTCAAGTTCATCATAATATTCATATTGATATTTTTATAGTAGCAGAAGTTTGTTTTTTAGGACTAGGCCTAAACTAGACCTAGGATTTTTGTCGTCGAGATCAATACAGGCAGACAGAGCTACTTATAAAGATTACTATTTTTAATTTAGGGATAATTACGTTAATGTCTAATTGCTATGAAATAATAGTGCAGCTATCTACATGTTTATTATAAATTAATCTATACATATAATAAAATTGTAACTAAGCCGAATCTGTACATTAAATAATTTTTGGAAAATCTTGTTCAAATAGACATTTTTATCGATACAGAGGCCGAATCTATAGTTTTTAGAATTTTTGTCTGTCTGTCTGTCTGTCTGTCTGTTACCGCATCACAGAAAAACCACTGGAGGGATTTTGATGAAATTTGGTATTGTGATAGCTGGTTAACCAATCAATCATTTGGATCAACATATAGGATACTTTTTACCGCGGGAAAATATCTCATTATTGAGAAAAAATGAAAAAAATGAAATGTAAGAGTATACTAACCTAAGAATCTGGTTTTTGGTCATCTGAACGCGGGCGGAGCCGCGGGCAATGCTAGTCTTATATATCAATAAAAGAACCTTTCATACAATAAGCAGTCCATAAAAACAAACTGCTAAGCTCAATGTTCTTAAGAAAAATATTAAGTAACATGTTTTAAATAAACAGCTTAATATTGAAAATATTTTAAACAATAATGCTGACAAATTCTCACCGAACATAATTTACGGTCTGTGACATACTCGTAGGCACCACAGGTGTGGTGGGCGTATCTAATCTCTCTCACAATATACTGACATTTCACTTAAAAGGCGAACATTTATTTTCGCGAAATCATTTTTACCTTAAAAAGAAGAATTAGCGTGCATTATATTCTGATTTCTGATGTCTATTTATGGAAAACACATATTTTCTTGGGCGTATACAAAACATTTTCGGCGAAATGACATCGCCCTGTCGTATTCCTCGCTGCAATTGGATGGGTCTTTATGGGTTTATATGGGTGGCAACTGCCTCGGTGGTGTAGTGGCTAGCATGTACGGCTGCACGGGTGGAAGTCCTGGGTTCGAGTCCCGGGTCGGGCCAAGTTTAGTTATTGAGTCTTCCTGTATAGTAAGCCTCAGTAACAGCCTGGAGTTGGGAAGTTGGCGGTGGTTCACCCCCGTGCCTCGAAGAGCACGTAAAGCCGTCGGTCCTGCGCCTTAACTCTCACTGGTCGTGTCGAGCAGTCGTCCCACCGGAGAATGAGAGTGACAGGAATAAGGAGTGCACTTGTGTCTGCGCGTACACTTGTGCACTATAATATCTCCTGCGCAGTTGGCTAGTCTCAATGAGATCATATGGGTGGATTTTAAAGACTATTAGTTTAATATTAATTTAAAAGCTTAAAAAAATAAAGTTCTAATAATTATATCTAGTAAAGAAATGAAATTAAAAAAATGTATTGTAATTAGTAAAATATTTTTTATAACATTTTTAAATTATTTTAATTTTACTGTAGAAAATATGAAAAAAGAATAAATAATTCGGATATAAATAAATAAAATAATTAATCTAATAATTTATAATAAAAATAAAATAAGTAATTTAAAAATTATTATAAATTAAATGGTTAATAATAAATTTTAATTTGGGGAAAAATCCTAGAAATGGGGCTAATCCTCCTAAAGATAAAAAAATAATTATAATTGAAAATTTGATTAAACAAATATAATTATAATTAAATAATTAGTTGATATGAAACATATATAGTAATATAAAATAAAAAGCATATATTAAATAAAAAATATATTTACAACTATAAAAATTTCAATGGGTTGAGTGTATTCAAGAACTTAAAGCTTAAGTTATCATGAGCTTTGTGGTCTCATAAAACATTTTATGTCATTGAAGCCATGTTTATGGTTGCAGCATTAAAATCCACTGCTCCTTTTACTTCTACACTTCTTAAGTGAATTCACACACTCGCTCAACATCTTTCATTCAACATAAAAAAAAAAACAAAAAAGAAGAAGTTGTATAGCAATAAAATTATATATTTATATTTAAACAATAACAAAATAATATATAAAATCATCAACTCAAGATACAATGAATGAATGAGACAATTAGCGTCTCAAAAGTGTCCTCAAAAAAAGCTTCTTTAAACTCCCTTTAATTATTGCTTTTCGGATGACAAAAATTAAAACGCACGTTGTTCCGTTTAAAAAAGCACTTTATGTGGTGAGCGTAAATTCGAATTTGTGTTTAGACAATAAGAATTCATATAACTAATAAGAACTTTAGATTTTTTAATTTTATTCTTTGGTTTGACTTATAACGTCACATGTCAACAACACTTTTTGAAGTGATATTTAAATACGTATCTGTGTTTTTATTATATATCTTAATATATATAATCCTTCTGTACGTGTGTTTATTAACCAACGCCTCCTAAAGCGCTAGACCGATTTGAATGACATTTTATGAGTTTAATTCAATGGGCTCCTGGATGGTTTGAAAACACAATTGAACCCGGTAGGTAGCGCTGCAGTCGATGTGCCACTGATCATCTCCTAAACGGCAGGGACGATTTTATTGATATTTTTGTGTATATTCGGGTAGGTCCCTGCAAGGTTTGCATACAAAATTGATCCGGTAGGTGGCACTGCAGTCGATGTGTCACAAAATTTTCATAAAAGATTCCATTTTCCGAGCAATAAATAAATTTAAATTGTTGATTAAATAAAATAAAAATCGATGTGTGTATGTATGTTTCCTATCCGCTCCAAAACAGCTGGAGCGCTTTTGATAACATTTTTAGGCAATCTTCAAATTAGCTAAGCGGGTAATCCTGTGAAATTTGTTAGCGATCGGAAGTTTAGACGCGGGCGAAGCCGCGGGTACTGCTAGTCAATATATAAAATTAAAGACTCGCTTACATAATATGTTTATTTTAAAAAAAAAACAATTATTTTTAAAAAGCGACATCTAGCCTATATTCAAATAAATATAACGTCAACTAGAAAGTACATCTACTTCTACATTAATATTTGAAGTTGGTGTTAGTTTGTCAATATTTCAACAGATGGCGGGTACCGAGAAAAAAACTTTATTTTGTAGAATTTATTTAGTCATACTTTAAAATTTAAATATTATAATAAAACAAGAAGAACCCGCGGCTTCGCTCGCGCTAAAACTACAAAAAACCTCTAAAATGGGAGTTTCATACAAACTTTTATCAGCTATTGTACCTCCTTATGGGATGAATTTCGAAAAATTCTAAAACACGTATTTAATTAATTGTATTGAAGAGCATTTATACCAAGTCTCAAGTAATTCTGATCATAAATTATTTTTTGGGTTGCATTATAACGTATTTTCTCGTGGGAATGAGACAATCTTCCGCGATAAAAAGTAGCCTGTGTCACTCTCTAGGCCTCAAACTATCTTCACACAAAAAATCACTCCAATCCGTGATTCCGTTTCGACGTGAAAGAAAGACAAACAAACAAACATACTTTCACATTTATTATATTAAGTATGGATATATAGGCAGTGTTAGTCAATTTTTTAAAAGATATGAGAATTCCACCAACCCATACTTGATCAGCGTGGTGGAGAATGGCTTCGTATTAAAAGAAAGCCCATTCCCAGCAGTGGGACGTTAAAATAGGAATGAAATACATATAATAAAATACTGTATTATGTATCAACTTCATTATTTACCGAATCGATGTCAAGTTTCGATCAAACATATCATAATCCCTCGTTTGAGATAAAAATTTCTTTTGGCCTTCACAAATAGGCTCATCAACCAGCTGGAAAACTGAAATATAAAATTAATCGATAAATTTTTTTAGTATGTTACGTTGATTCGCCTTAATGTCTTTTTGCTACCCTTTTATTTTTCAAAGACCAGAGACCTGTATCGCTTCTTCGGCAAAAGTGGTCCTTAATGATCTTCGTTGATATTGTTTTATTATTTAAAAATAATCATAAGATCAGAATATTATTTATATAAATTATTTTTGTTTAAATATTATATTCTCTTATAAGTTCAAAATATTAGTCAAATGTTTGTTGTTTTTCGTGGCTAATTCATCGCCGCCCAAAGGCTGAACCCGAGGGAGGTGGATTGATTAGAATATAGGACATAGGTATTACGATATTTTGGGTCTCAAATTAAAAATGGCAGATAGTTAAATCACGAAGAGGATGCTAGTGGAATATTTTAAGCGATATTTCTATTAAATAGTACTTTTTAATGAGCCGTGTTCACTGAGATTGAAACGTTTATCGACCAGCTATTTATTAAAAATCTATACGTAATGAAAAAGTTAAGAAAAAAATTTGCTTCAGACTAGAATCGAACCCGCGACTTTCAGAGCAGAAAGCCCAACCAGTAAAAAATATACATTTAATAAATATGAATACTAACATCCCCTTTTCTCGCAGTTCACTTTATGGAACGTGCACAGATCCTCAAATTCCGCTAGAAACTGTTGAGTTGTATCGTAGCCACAGACTTTGTCCCCGCCCGGAGTACATGTTCTTAGTTTAAAACAATGAAATTGAGCGTATTTTTCTCGTACTACAGGACTATCATCGTATTCAGGATGCTGTAATGTTATTTTTAAAGCAGACAAATTAATTATTATACTTGTTGTGATGGAACTAAGAACATAAAAAACCCATTAAATATGAAGTAAACCAAGTTAACTAAATTTTTTATATGAAAAACTCTCTAGATATTATATATTTATTACTTACAAAAATATATAGATAATTTTAAAATAACCTTTACATAAATCGTTTAGATAAGTATCTACATAATAATGTGTTTTATGACATCATGTCTCAATAAATTCATTTATAAAATTTACTTACATTAGTGAGGGATGAGCATTTCGGCGAATACGATACTAATATAAAAACTGAAAATTGTAAAATGGACGAATTAAATAAAACTATCTTTTCGGTTTTTTTCGCCAATGTATTTTGATTTTTGGTTCCGGACGTTTCGGACTTTACAGCAATCATAGCCACGGGATTGATTTAAAGCATTCAAAATGTCGGGAACGAAAAATCTAAATAAATCCGAAAAGATTTATTTAAAACTAGCAGAACCCGCTGCTTCGCTCGCACTAAAACTACAAAAAAATCTCTAAAGGTAGTTTCATACTAACTTTCATCCCCTGTTTTACTTATAGCATGAATCTCGAAAAATGCTCAAACACGTATTTATTTAACTTTATTGAAGAGCATTAATACTAAGTTTCAAGTAATTCTGATCATAAATACTTTTTTGAATTGTATTATAACGTGTTTTCCCGTGGGAATTAGAGTATCTCTCGCGGTAAAAAGCAGCCTATGTCATTCTGCAGCCCTCCAACTATCTCCACACAAAAAATCACTCCAATCCGTCACTCCGTTTTGACGTGAAAGAAAGACAAACAAACAAACAAACAAACAAAAACACTTTCACATTTATAATATTATTATGGTTCAAGAAAGTATTATGGACGAAATAACTTAACTACAAACAACTACTAAATGGACATTTAAAAGCTCCATCGTTAATAAGAAAACTAAAGATGCATCGAAATTATTGGTAGGTATAGATACTCGTAAGTATGCATATGTCACGTAGTAGAAATCTGTATGATAATATACTCGAACATTTTTCAGTTTTCTATTAGCTATATTGATTGTAGAAATCGTGTACACAAGCGTGTTATTTTAACATAAACTTACCAACTGGAATAATAATTTTATAATAATACATAATGTTTGAACACGTGCTTTGTTGTTGAAGCAAAAAGATTTTATAAATCGCTTTACTAAAACGAGTTGGAATGAAAAGCAAATTGCATGCTCGAAAGAATTTAATATCTTTTATAAAACTTCACGTTTGTTAAAGGTGAAATCTGAAAGAAAGGACTTTGTTAATTAACTGCATTGTTCCGCTATTGTGGTATATTTTATTTATTCCTACAGTTCAACTGATAGATAATATTTTACATAGTCTATGAATACTAAAATATAAATGTAAATAAAAAATATGATGAACAACTAATTAAAAGAACACAAGACTGATTAATATGAAAAACAAAACAATTTTTTTACGATTATATAGGTATTGAAAGAATATTAGGTAATCTATACAGATAAATGAAATTGAAGTATCTGTTTGTAATGTCAAAACAACAGCGTTTTACTAAATGCATATGAAATGATATACGGTACTTATAAGAAAAACATTTTTTTTTTTAATTTTTGTCTATCTGTCTGTCTGTCTGTTTATTCAGGATGATCTCTGAAATAGCTGCACTGATTTTGACGGAACTTTCACTGGAAGATAGTTGATGTTATAGGGAGTAACATAGGCTACCTTTGTTTTAGAAAAAGAATTAGGGTTCCGCTCAAAAAAATTAAAACGTACCTAGGGAAGAATACGAGCGAAGCGAGGGTGATTCGCTGGTACTAAATATATTAGAACCAAGGAGTCTGCAGTAGGACTCTACGAATACGTTTTCTCTTACCTGTAACATACTTCAAGCACAGTAATAAATATAATCTTTAAAGTATTAAGTATTTCATTAAATTTTGTTTGAAATTATTATCTCATTAAATTCTCTAAAAAATAGAAAAATGATTTTATAAATATCTACTTCAATTAAATTTAGTTAACTTTATATCATAAAGTGTTAAGCATTTTGACCAGTATTACAGTGTTATTATAACTGAAAATTATAAAATATATAAAATGTCGTTTAAAAAAATCCCGACTTGAAAGAAATCGAACTAAAAGTTGCATTACATATCTAGATTATTTTCCGTGAAAGTAATTAGCTAATATTATATAAATCTGTTAGCATAAGAACTATAAACAAAACTTTTTTACTTTACATTACAATAATGCCGAAGACTCGCCAAAATGCACAATTTTACAATAACTCAATAAACCTGTGTATTATCTTGTAATTAACATTCTTAAAGATAGCCTTACTAAAATGCGCTGAAATGAAAAACAAATTGCACGCTTGAAAGAATTTAATATCTTCTACAGAACTTCATGTTTGTTACGGTGAAATCTGAAATAAACGACTTTATTAATTACTAGCGACTCAGCTATGCTTCGCTCGGGTTCGTCCCTAGCTTGCTTCCCAATACAAACTTTCATCCCCATTTTCACCCCCTTAAGGGATGATTTCCGGGATAAAAAGTATCCTATATCCTTCTCAGAGTCTCAAACTATCTTCTTACCAAATCATCTAAATCGGTTCAGTAGATCCAGAGATTACCCCCTACAACATCACAAACTCACAAACTCACGAACTTTACCTCTTTATAATTTTAGTATTATAAATTATTCGAATTGTTACAATAGTATGGTATGTTTTATTTATTTCTATAGCTCATCTGAGAGTTCAGAAGACTAAAGTATAAAGGTAAATATAAATACGAGAAGCTACTATTTCACAGAACACTATTCTCATTAACATGAAAAATAGCGCATGTTTTTACGATTTATTGTTAACTAGCGACTCACCCTGGCGTCGCTCCGCTCGGGTTCGACCCTAGTTACGTTTTAATGTTTAGTATAGATTTCTCAGAGATATTTTCCCCACAGTAAAAAGTATCCTATATGTTGACCCGGATAACCAGCTATCATCATACTAAATTTTATCAAAATTCCTCCAATGGTTTTTCCGTGATGCGGTAACAGACAGACAGACCAAAATTCTAAAAACTGTAGATTCGGCCTCTGTATCGAAAATAATGTCTATTTCAATATTATAGAGAACATAACATTTTATGCACCACATGCATTTACATTATGCGTTGATTCTTTAGAATAAGAAAAAACCAGTATAATATTTAGTGACACAAGTTTAACCATATACAAACTAAAAGGTTTTCGTAGCTTATAGTAAGATGTTAGCAAATTTATGTAATCTTATTGAAGGAGGATTAAAGGGAGTTTGTAGAATAGTTTGAATTTCTGTGATTCAATCAGCTATAAGCTGTTACACGAGCTCAAATGAAATTTTGAACACAGAAAAACCATGACTCGTACTAATAATAATTATAAATTATATATTATATAATAATGATATATTAGTTTAATACTCTTATTGCATAATACGTAAGTCTTTAATTTTATTTACACAAAGCTTATATACGGTATGAATTTATCAAAAGATGGCGCTACTCAAAAATGTTAAAGAAAAATTTGAAAACATTTTTCTTGGAACTTGTGTTTATAACAAGAAATTTATTAAAAAATTCAAAAACCCCACATTTATACAGATACACGAGTTAAACTAAAAACACCCCTCTTTTGAATCAAGGGATAAAAATGTAAATACTTACCGTGTCCATAATAACAATTGTGCTTGTAAGATTCACAAGCACTGCTAAACTTCCGTTTTTCATTTAGACGCCGGTCTCTCCCACATACGGTTTTTCCTTCCGAATGACAATATTTCGCTCGCCAACACCAATACTCCTTGATTATTGCTGCTTTGCCTGGCTCGATCGATTTTACTGTTCTCTACACATATAACAAATGGAATACATAAATAGAATTATTTAACCATCGCCAGCCCAAGCTCGGGATTCTACGGGGTTGGCGTTCTATGGGGGAGGCTTTGTTCCATCAGTGGACGGCAATAAGCTGAAAAAAAAAATTAACTATCGAACTTAAAATAATAAATGCGAAAGTTTGTATGTGTGTGTGTATGTGTGTGTATTTTTTACTCCTTCACGCTGAAACGGCTGAACGGATTTGGATGAAATTTAGTACACAGATAGATTATGACTCTGAGTAAATATAGGTACCTTTTATTACTATATTATCTAATGACTACTGCGGCTTACGTTCTGATTTTTGCTGTTTTCCATTTTAATTAAAATCTTTCATTATTAAATTAAATAAAGCAACAACACTTTCAAGTAAATTTATTCAATAAAAGATAACGTTTATATTTAGATTACTCTATATTCAGCTGCTTAGCTATGAATGAATTCATATGCTTATATAGGATAGTAGACACTTTGCCTCGGTGGTCTAGTGGCTAGCGTGTACGGCTGCAGATTCGGAGGTACAGAGTTCGAGTCCCGGGTCGGGCCAAGTTTAGTTATAGAGTCTTTCTATTAAGGAAGTACCAGTAACAGCCCCGAGTTGGGAAGTTTACGGTGTTTCACCCTCGTGCCTCGGAGAGTACATAAAACCGTCCTACGCCTTAACTAGCTCACCGATCGTGTCAAAGTATCGTTCTGTCGAACTTTGAGAGTAATAGGAATAGGGAGTGCACTTGTGTCTGCGCGAACACATGAGCACTATAATATCACCTGCGCAGTTGGCTAGTCTCAATGAGATTGGCTGCCGTGACCGAAATCGGTCAGGATGTTATTATTATATGTATATTTATAGTATAATAGACTACATGAAACTAACTTAGGAACACACAAAATAGAAACTAGAACCGTATGTCCGTCCAAAAGACAAAATAATAAAAAAATATTGAGTGCTTAGGATTTTAGGTTTTAGTTTAGGTTTGGAGTAGTTTAGGTTTAGTCCCCCCCCCCCAACGTGCGTTCACCTTGTCGTGGTGGCGGGGCTCAGTAGTGCCCGGCAATCCAACCGGGCGCGAAGCCAAGAAACGCACAGGGAGGTGGCCCTCTTCGGAGGGCGGTGTACCATGCGGGTTGCTCCTGGTACTTCTCTGATAGCAGAGTGGACCTTGGAGCAACCCCGTGGTTGTTGTGGTCTGCTTCGGCAGACCTGCCGTCGGGGCGTCGTAGTTGAATGCGTAAGCGATCCTGCGACGCCCCATTAAGACGGGGGAAGGCTTTGTTGGGTTTTAGTGGGTAGTACTGGCTTTGCCGGTGAGTCCCACATCTCGTGCGTAAATGCATTTCCCAACGTTAAAAAAAAAAAAAAGGTTTAGTCAAAAATGAACATTAAAAAACGATGATTATTTTATTCATTTTTAATCTCACGTTTGATCTTTAGTTTGTTATGGAGTATAATATCACTACATAGTATAAAACAAAGTCGCTTCCCGCTGTCTGTCTGTCCCTATGTATGCTTAGATCTTTAAAACTACGCAACGGATTTTGATGCGGTTTATTTTTAATAGATAGAGTGATTCAAGAGAAAGGTTTAAGTATATAATTTGTTAAGTTTTTGTATACATTGGCTTAAATATAACAATATTTGTTGGATAACAATTGGTAAAAAATAAGCCGTCTGGGAGCTTTAAACGAAAACGCTGCCTAAACCCTTTGAGATATAACAAAATAATGTATGGTGGAATTGTGTATCTTATATAGGTCTAAAGAAAAGTCCGCGATGGCATATGTCTATCTCTTAAGGATAACATACTATATCCATTTTTATTTAAAACGTACCTAGGGATGAACCCGAGCTAAGCGAGGGTGAGTCGCTACTATTATAATAAATAAAAAATTAAAAAAATCATAACATTGCTTTAATTAAATTAAAAAGTTGTATCCCATTTATTATTTTCTTCTTTTCTTCTTCCTTTTATCTTCATCTTCTTTTTTCACTTCGTCTACTTCATCATTTACATCAGGTTCATCACGTGATGCACTGTCATTTAGTTTTATGTCCTTTTCTTTTTCAATATGTTCATCGTCTTTCGAATTGCTTTCCTTCTCTTCTGATTTACCTTCTTCCAAATTATCGACGTCTTTCATAGAGTCAAGTTCTTTGCTACCCTTCAAACCTTGTTGATCAATATTTGGTAAATTTTTACAAAGTTCATAAGATACTTTTTGGTAACCTAAAAAGAGCGTCTCGTTCGTTTACAGTTTAATACTATTATTAACAACATCTTATGTAAATAATACATACTCGCTTCTCTTAAGCAATTATATTCCTTCAAGTCACAGCTGTCCAGAAACCGACGAACCTTACCACTCTTGTCTTGTCCGCATTTCTCTTTACCATCGTGAATACAAGTTTTGGCTTCATAGCATGTCTACAAATAATTTTCCGAATACTTTGTAACAACAACCTTATCATATGAAATATATTTTTTAATTATTGCCTCAACTTTTAATATTTCAACGTTTCTGTTCTAGATTCATCACGATATAGTATTTAAAAAGACGTTTTTTAACGCTATACTTACGTTCTTAGCATTAATTTGAGCTACGATTATGAAGTACATAAAGGCGCTTCCTAAAAAGATTTACCATATTGATAGAAGAATATCAAAACCACCATAATTCATTTTAAAAATAAAAGTATATATTACCAACTAAAATTTTAAATCCGATTCCCATATCGTTTTCAGAGTTTCTAGTATTTTCACGATTTTTATTATCAGTGTTGAATATTTTGCAATAAAATTATGAGCGATAAATTGGAATTGACTTTACAACTATAATATAAATTTAAGATTAAGGAAAATAAGCATTCATGTTCAGAAAAATAGTTTTTATATTAATTTTATTAGTTGCTTGTTATGACTGTTTAAAAGAAACGAAGAAAAAGAGATATAAAGTTATTATTTTACCATATTAAGCTTTGTAGCAAAGTTTTACATATATTACATGTAAAATTAGCCTCGTGGTCCAATTATAAAACTCCAGACCGAGATGGCTGGAATTTTGACAGTGTATTTCTTAGAATCATAGAAAAAGTCATAGAAAGATTTTTTAAAAGCGCCCAAAGACGTATTAAAATAAAATAAAAATCATTTAAAAAATACTGGTGAAGTTGTATGAGAAGCAATATTTTCTAGTATCAAATTAAAAAAAGGCGACTCAAATCTACAGCGGGCTTTTAGTTTTTATATTATAAATAGAGAAAGATTATTATTATTATATATATAGAAATATGATTTAATAATTAATTAACAACATTTGATTAACATTTTTAATGATTTTCTTTGAATGTACATACATATATGATATTGGTTTTAGTCCCCTTGCCTTGAAGCCTCCTTCTGCGTGCATAATGGTAAAAGAGAATGTGGTCTTGAGCCCAAAACGAGAGAAGTCAGGTGGTTTATTGACAAATGCGATGTACTGGAATTCAATTGTGAATATAAAACACGTAAGTTGTATTTCAATTAAAATATATACATAAATAACTAGTTACTCATCTAACTTATAGTCATTCGGGCGGAATTAGATACATACATATTTGACGACACGCTTGGCTTGGTTTGTAGTGACCCTACTTGTTGTGCCAGCGGTCGCGGGTTCGAGTCCCGCTGAGGGCATTCATTTGTGTGATGAGCACGAATGTTTATACTCCAGTCATGGGTGTTTATATTTATAATATGTATTATGTATATATTTAAAGTTATATATGTGTAGTGTATCAACTATTTGCTATCCTTAACACACACACTCGTCGCTTACCATGGAGCTAGATGGTATTGTGTGTTAATGTCCCAAAAAAACCCAGTAAAAGCCATTTTAAAATCATTTCAACACATTAAAATAAGGAGAAAAACAGAGATAAAAAGACGAATAAAACTTCACTGTCATTTGGATATCAAAGGAACTCAATATGGGTTGGCTATTTTTAAATCATGAATCTACCTTTGAACTTTATTCATAGATACAAATATATGTACAAATTCTGAAAATTATCCAAATAATACCTACTACAGTAAATCATCTATTTTGTTATCCTAAAAAAATATAACACATTTTCTCTGGATATTGCCAAGATTTTAATTTCCGCACGCTCTCCTGACGGTCTTAGAACTGGTTATTAAATTTTTGATTTAATTAAGATGAAAGGGCGGGATAAAAATTACCACCAGAAGCATATCATCCAAAATATTTATAAAAGGAAATATAGAGCGAAGCAATGACCACATCTTCAAAATCGAATTTCTTATAATGTTGAGTACCTAATAACATATGTGTTTATGTGTGTGTCAAAAGTATTATGAATTAAACATTACATATCACACTACTTGGACGACACGTTTAGCTCAGTTTATAGTAAACCTACTAGCTGTGCCAGCGGTCGCGAGTTCGAGTCCTGCTGGGGGCATTCGTTTGTGTGATGATCACGAATGTTTGTTCTCCAGTCATGGGTAATATAATAATGGGTAATATAATAAATATTTATAATATATTTGTATTTAAAGTTATATATGTGTAGTGTATCAACTATCTGGTATCCATAACACAAGCCTCGTAGCTTACCATGAAACTAGATAGTGCTGTGTGTTAGTGAAAGTGTGTAGTGTGTGTAGTGAAAGTTTGTAGTAGCGTCTGTATGTATGTAAGAGTTTTTGTGTGTATGTTTTTACCCTTTAGGTTGAAACGGCTAAACAGATTTGGGTGACATTTAGTATTTGCATTGGCATTTTATACTTACTACTCATAGTTCGTTTTAGATTATATGAAATATAAACATAATTTAAACACAGATATTTTACACTCAGGCGAAAGCTCTATCTAAATAAAGCGATAAAATTTTAACTATCGAACTTCGATTTAGTTTTAATTAAAATAAAACAACTAAAAACAATGTACATTTAAAAAATATTAGCTATATATTTCAGAATACAAAATAACAATACCAAAGAAATGTCAACATGTACCGCCATTATAGTCTAAATTCAAAATTCCTAGAGCTACAGGAAAGTTTACGTAACCTTATACATAACACACTCAACACTGATCCTAGTTTAGTAAACAGAGTGCTAAATCAAAATATATGGTTGGACACTCATTCGTACTGCGCCACTCGAGGGAATAAAGTATACTAGCCTGTAATTACAATGTTCCCTAAGATTACAGGTAATATATCTTTATTTTGTACTAATTTTTTTTAATCGATTTTATATACAGCCCTTTTTTAACGTCCCACTGCTGGGCACGGACCTCCCTTCAGTACGAGGATCAGGCCATAGTCCACCACGCTGAACAAGTGCGGATTGGCGGATTTAATCGATTTTATAATAGAGAAATTATTCAATGTTTTTTTGTGTGTATTTTAACAAGTACTTTCGAAAACTATAAGTGGGATTTAGTCATTCTTTTAGGTAATTGGGCTGAATATATACAAATAGGTGTTAAAATGATCTCATATAAATTATATATCAATATAATCATATTGATTTGCCAAGGGAAATATAAGCCCCAAAAGATTGTAATTAAAACGAAGGAGTATAGAGTTCGTGATTGAGTTGGAAAAACTGAAACTTATTAATTCAATAAAGAATGCACATTCCTCATTTTTTAGAGATTGATGTGAGTTGAGATAGCTGTATTAAATACTCATATTAAATACTAGCATTGCCCGCGGCTCCGGTCGCGTTCAGATGACCAAAAACCAAATTCTTAGGTTTTACATATTAGTATACTCTACAATGCAATTTTTGTGTTTTTTCTCAGAAATGATATCTTTTCCCGCGGTATTTGTATTGTTATATTCTTTGTATTATTTTCAGTTATTTTCTTAGTAAGCTTATTGATAATGCTGGTGTCTTCACATGGTCCACCATTAGAGCGTGACAATGAGGATATCACTATGGGGAGGAAGGTAAAAAAAGTATGATCAATCAAAACAATCTCGCAATTTTATAAATTCCTTTCATTTTAAGCCAGCTAATATTTCATCGAGTAGTTTATTGCATAAATCTTAATAGGTATATGAAAGCTTATATAGAACCTACAAGGTTACCTAACTTAGAAAGTTTTAATTTGACTCGAGTATTGCTAGTAACTTACATCCTATTAATATAATTAATGCGAAAGTTTGGATGGATGGATGTTTGTTATTCAATCACGCCAGAACGACTGAACGGATCTGCATGAAATTTGGCACAGAGATAGTTTATAATCTGGAGTAGCACATAGGCTTTTATCACGGAAAAATGTACGGTTCCCGTGGGATACTTTTGTTTTTTATTGGGGGCGAACGCAAACGAAGCGTAAGTGGTTGCTAGTAAAGAATGAATATTTAACGATATTTAAAAAAGAAACTTCTATAAAGATCGGTTGAGATAAATGAACAAATAGAATTGCTAAGGCTTCTTTTAAAAATTCAAGAATATGTGTATTTGTTTGTGACTTCTTCACGCTATAATGGACTAACGAATTTGAGAGATGTTTAATGGAAATAGGTTATATCATGAATTAACACAAATGCTACCTTTAATCAACTAAACTACTTTATTTTTACTAAAACAAAATTTAAAGAATGTTTATTTAATTTTGATTATGTATCTCTTACAGATGGGAGCTAAGTGGTGCAGTATGGCTAAAGTTTGCAATCACGACAGAATACCAATATGCGGTATCAGCCACGCTGGGGACGTTGTGGGCTTCAGGGACTTGTGTGATATGTTCGATTATAATTGCATTAGAAGAAGAAGTCAGTACACTTTTTTTATATTGCTTAAGCTTATAAATATATGAACATAGGCTAGGAAAATTCCGGTATGAATACTTAAAGTAGAACTTTAAATATTATCCTTATTTTGGGATATTATTTACACTTTGATATTTACTAGTCAAAATTCTATCCATATTGACCAAATATCAAGACCCTAGAAGGCATAATTCGTAAATAAACCCTGCAGTTGACTATAATGAAACTCAATTTTGTCCCAAAACACAATGATTCATCATATTTCAATTTTAGTACACTAATGCCCTTAAACACTAAGTAAAAATAATTAAAAGTATATTATTATTTAATATACTTATGCCACTCCCATATTTACATGAACCAGACTTAGATACGTACTATAATAATTAAGTATATATTTTATAATAATAAATGGGCCATTCTTGTATACATATACATATATAAATTCTATTATTTTATTCATGTATTTCGGTAACGGCTCTAACGATTTCGATCAAATTTTGTATTTCCATAAGGTTTTGCTTTTTAAGATTTAACGAAAAACGTAATTTTATATCTTTTCCGAAAAAAGAAAGCGAAGCGAGGTCGCCTAAGTACTGTACATATACTAATATTATATATGCGAAAGTTGGTGAGGATTTAGTCTAGATGTACCTATAGATATATGAATATTTATTAGTCTTATACGCAAAAACTACTGAATGAATTTTAATGAAACTAACTTTATTGAATGAATTTTACTGAAATTAACTTACAATAATATAGCTTATACATCAGCATAACACATAGGCTACTTTTTATCCCAGAAAAATGTAAGGTTCCCGTGAGATGGATTTGTTTTTATTTTTTAGAGGCAAACCCGAGCAAAGAGAGGATGAGCCGCTAATATGTAATATTATATAACTTTGTTTATAGATAAATAACTTATTAGCAAATTAAATCATTTTCAGATTACAAGCAAACTGCCTGCCCAGAGGACAAGTCAATTCTCACCGTCTCGCGTCGGCCTACCAACAGTTTCTACGACGACTAAATTATATTAAAGATATATCTTATATTGGATAATATTGTATTTAAATTAAGCACAAGAAATGGTTTATTTTTTATATTGTAAATAAACTCTACTCATATAATGAGAATAATAAAAATGTATATTTATACTAGATATTTTTATTTAACTTCCGTAATGTCCTTGCGATTTAAACTAAGCAATTTTTGGTTGCTACAAAAACGCTTTCGTTTATAATATTGCACTCCACGTATACATTGTACATATCTATCAGCGTTACCTCTACTCTCGGTGTTAGTTTTAATCGGACTACCGACTTTAGAAGCCAGCACTACCTCATTATAGAGGGAAATATAACTTACTAATAGTTGATAATTAAAATAAAACTATACATAGATATATGGAAAATTGTCAGGGAAAAATGAAGGATATTCATTTAAATTGTTAAACTCAAATCATTCATTGTGTTACTACAATAGCAAAAGTCTACATCCATATAACAAAACTCAGATTAAAAAAAAAACTTTTTGTGGGCTTATTTCTGCCTTAGAATGCTAAAAACGTACTCGTAAATTTAAAAAAAGACATTATAGTGAAGGCGCTGGAAGTCCAGTGGTAGCGCTATTGCTTAGAAAACCAAGTAAAACTGTGACTTATATATAGAAAAAAGGGAGAGGCAGATAGAATTTGATTTTGTCTTAGTCGGTGATAGATAAGATCATGAGCAATTTGCGCTCGAACTAAATTTTGCATTTTTCCATCAAGACGAGAATATTTTAAAGTAAATCATTGATATATTTCTATGAAGGACAACTTGGCCGAACTAGTTTATTTTTTCCCGTAGGATTGAAAGAATATTTTGTATTAGAGGTATCCTAATAATGTTGACCCAAGAAACCTGCAGAGTCTAACAAATTTTTAACCCACAACTTGGTTAGTTGGTAGCTTGATCCCCTCTATGTTGAAGAAAAGCCTGTGCCCAGCAGTGGGACGTTAAAAAAGCTTACTTATTACTTAGCGTCCAGTAATTGGTGTTTACTTCAAGCTAATGCAAATCTCTTTTGTGCGCTAAACACACTGTTACGGTATATTGTAGATATTTATAGATCCTATTACTCAATGTAACAAACAAAACATTTAATCGATTACTCGATACCTATTAATAGATGCCATTTCTAGTTACAGCCATTCTAGGAATAAAGCCAAATGTAAATATTCGATAATTATAGTGATTGTTTATAATACCCTGCTTAGGTTTATGTCTTGGTTAGATATCACCTACATCCGTTCATTATGATTTGATATTGTAGAGCTATTGTAGAGTGTAACACGACTGTTGCGCTGATTGTAACTGACGTTTGAAAAACCAAATATGTATTTATTTAAGAAAATTTTCTTTATTTTATTATTTCTAATTGTAGACAGTCATATAGTGGGGGATAAAGCACATCTGGTAAGTTTATAATCATCATCATCATCAGCCCTTTTCACCACTGTTGGACATAGGCCTCTCTCAGGGTGTGCCATTAAGCGAGATTTTGAGCTTTGCGCATGCATTCTATACCCGTCTCCACTCGAGAACCTGCTTGCTCCAACTGTTATCCGTTCTTCTGGATATATGGCAAGTTTATAATAGGACCTATTTATTCTTTACCGGTAAGGGAATAATTCCCGAACTTCAACCATAACCATTATTTATTTGAGGTAAACTTATATTAAAGTAGAATTTACCTATCTTTATAAAAAACACTTTCTGTGCTTTCAATCTTTGGATTCCTTTTGGGATAAAACTGAATCGGAAATAAAAATTTTCACGTTTTGTGTATGAGAAAAAAGATAGTTTAGTAACATTAAATGAATTTAATTGTATGTTTAATAAATACTTATCATGTAATTTACATAATAAGTATATTTAGTTATTTAGTAGCTTAAATTTATTACAGACGGAACTCAAAAAGCTTTGCGAGCACGCCTACATCTGTTTCCATGACAACGTTATCATTTGTGGCAAATCAGTTAATGAAGCAAGAACCTTCCTTGATCTATGCGACCTCTACGAGTACTCCTGCGAATATAACATGGGTAAGTAATTTAAATCTGCTATAATGATATAAAATATTATGATAATAATTTATGATATAAGATATTTGATGTAAAATCGTATTAGATAGAATACATAGCAGATGCATGTTTGGGTGCGTAAATATCTAGTTTTGTACAAACCTTTATAAACTTCGGGGGTTTGATTTCGAAATCATCTAATTTTTTAACAGGTTATGTATAAGAACCTAATGTTAACCAAGAACCATCGTTCATTAAAGAAAATTAGTCCCATATTTAAACTTTTTAGTTTTCTTTGAATAATTGTTGTAGCTACTAGAAAAAACTGTCAGAAAGAACTTGGGTCAAGTTTTACCACAGATAACGTAACAATTTATTTTACTATTAAATATACATCGAAATTACGAGTCAATGTTTTTCTTCATCAGACTAACTATAAAAAATGCTAAAAGAATCTTTATGTGTGTGCATCTTTGATTCTCGTTCCTGCTTAAACAGCTGGACGGATTCGAGTGTTTAGTACACAGGCTTCTGTTTCTACCTAAAAACGCACCCGAGCAAAACAAATGTAAGTAGGCTAGTAATTCCTTAGCATTTGTTTTATCAAATAATAAAGTTAGTAATTTAAAAAATAGCTTTTTTTAGTTTTTAGGCACGTTAAAGAAGAGGAGGGAGTTTGTCCAAATCCCAAAGAAATAAGGCCAGGGGCAGGATAAAAACCAATGAAAAGGTAATAAGTATAAATAATAAAAGTATTATTTTATTATATCATATCACTGCATAATTATATATGTGCAATGAAATATTGCTACACAATAATTATTTAATTGGCTTTACTTAATGTTATGTAAAATTGTGATCACATTTTATACTTTACGTAAAGAAAACACAAAATGTTTGATTTAGTTAATATTAATCTTTATGGTAGATAATATGTATAAAAATATATCATTGTTAAAACTGCCTTGTTATAGGTACGCCTTGCAAGATGACAAAAGAGCAAAATCTGGAAAAAAATACAAAACAATGAAGTAACAAGTGTATGTTATGAATTTAAAATATACACAGATATTATATTACACACTATACATATAGGCCATACTAGCCTTATTAACATAATATACTTCAGTAATTTATAATAATTATTAAAAAGGTAGGATCTATCTCGACATAAATAACAAAATTGTAATACTCACTGTATTTCCAGTAGCAATTCACTTGAAGCATGTGGCAAATGTCTTCAAATTTACCATAACCAAAGCTATCATCGTACCCACACACAGGATTCATAGTTCTATGACATAATATTGCCACAGAACACCATGTACTTCTATTACTATCAGGATGATTATTCGGCACCATTACCGTCCTAGCTTCAAATGGGCGACGTGACTAAAAAAATAATATGAAATAGACTTTAGTTAAGCAAGATTCCGCTTATATTTTACATATAGCCAGATATAGATATAGATATTTTATAATAGCCTACTGAATAAAAATATTATGATGACATGAAACACCTAATATCTAAAATGATAAAGAAATATTAAAAAAAACGTGTGATTAATTAAGAATACTAATTATATAAAAGCTAGCAGAACCCGCGGCTTCGCTCGCGCTAAAACTACAAAATATCTTTAAAAAGGTAGTTTCATACAAACCCTCCTTCCCTATTTCACTCTCTTATAGGATGAATTTCGAAAAATACTAAAACACGTATTTATTTAATTTTATTGAAGATACAAAGTTTCGAGTAATTCTGATCATAAATATTTTTTTTGGATTGTATTATAACGCGTTTTTCCGTGGGTGTTAATCACCCGCGATAAAAAGTAGCCTATGTCACTCTCCAGCACTCCAACTATCTCTACACAAAAAATCACGCCAATACGTTACTCCGTTTCGACGTGAAAGAAGGACAAACAAACACACTTTCACATTTATAATATTAGTATGGACTAATAAATTTAAAAAAAACCAGGGAGCCTTACAGTAGTCGCATATGACGTGTAACATCTGACATTTCACTTTATTATGTTTATTTTACTCTAACTACACTATTTAACTTTTTGCTATTGGATTTCCTATTGTTTATTGTGTATTAATTAGACTGATTAAAGTAAGTTTAAAGAGAATTTTAAATGTTGTTAGAATTTTTGTATAATTAGGTAAGATGAAAATAAAAATTTTTGTTTGTAGAGATATTTCACTAATATTAGTCTCAAAAGATTGGTTTAGGTCTAGATCTAATATTCCAATTGGAATTATGAAAATCGGATAACCTGTTTAAAAGATATGAGAAAAATTGTAATAGAGAAATGTGAAAACCTGTATTTATTTAAAGTTTATGTTCTAGAAACTTTTTAAATATGTTAGTTATATAAAATATTGTCGTTTTATATAAGAAAGGGATACCATAAGGGTATACCTGTGATAAATAATAAGGCTTAGGGGTACGATTGTATCAGTCGGACTCAAGATATCAAGAGAGCAACAACAAGAAAGAAAAATCAAGAATAAATAGAAGAAATCTGGAAGAATTATGTTTATATATATATAATCAACTCTTACCATTTCAGGCTCTACAGGATATTCTAAAACATTTTCTAAGCTTTCAATAGGCTCTTGAAATGTAATGCCAACGATAGAGAAGAAGACGGCACCTAAAGAAACTACAATTACTTTTTATGTCAAGACTCCTAAATCTATACATATATTCTAACTAACCCGAATCTGTACCTTATTTATTTGGAAAATCTTATTCAAATAGTCATTATTATCGATACAAAGGCTGATTCTATAGTTTTTAGAATTTTTGTCAGGCTGTCGGTCTGAGAACGCATCACAAGAAACCCACTGAACAGATAAATGAAATTTGGTATTATGATAGCTGGTTACCCGGCTCAACATATAGGATAAATTTTAATGCGGGAAAATATCTAATTTCTGAGAAATCTATT